CATTAGTGTCGTACTGCTGTTAAAATCAGCGAGGATCAGTCACTCTTTAACCCCAAAAAGCCTTCACATTTCGCCGCGTTTTACCGCAGTCTGTGATACAGTCTGGAAGAAGCACTGAACCCGGTGCGTGTCACGTTATATTCTTCTCTCCAAGGTCTTCACCTGACTGTGACGGTCCCCTCAACGGGCTGGAACCACGCATCACTGTTCCCCGTGCAGCAAGGTCGCCCTGGCTCACGTGCCCCTTCCCCTCCCCGCGGTATTCGTGCACTGTTTGTTGCGAAACTGCGCCCGGCAGGCTGGAACGGAAGTTAAAGGACAGCGCTCGGAGAATTATGCGCCAATCCTATTCAAATCGGTTTGTCAGGCTGGCTTACCGTCCTTTATAAGCTGATTAGTTTGCCCGATAAGTAATATTTACTAGATTCAATTGAATGAGTAAAGCGCACGAGATAGACAGGAGAACAATGCTTTGGAGTTCGTCTGTCAAGAGCAAAAGCTGTATGTAAAGACAGCTATTTGGTCTACCTGAAACGTTTTGGGGGACCTGTCGTGGATCCTCTTGTGACCACTGCAAACAGACGAGCACCGTCGGTCATTCTTTGATCGTCCGCACAACAATTGTCACATCCATCACTGTCTTACGTCTGTCCTCTCCGGGTGACCATCGGTCCTATTGCATCACTTGTGGGTTGTGAGTTAGTTGAGGCTATGATCAGGATCAGGCCATGGTGGTCAATCCTCATGTGACCGTTCCGACGTTTGTCAACCCCTCTTTGATCATACGGCCGATTAGTCGGTCTTCGTGTGACCGTTCGGGTGATTACCAATTAGATAGTTCGGGCTGCGGTCATGATCCTTTCCGTAAGCGCTGGGGTCACTGTGACACTGACCGCTCCTTCTTTGGCCGATCGGACAACTATCAATCAGCTGGCGACTGGTCGGGCTTCGCCATGATCCCTCCTGTGGGCGTTCCGGCCACAGTGATCCCTCTTCCCATGGATCCATTCATCTCGCGCCTGGTCGGGCGGCGCCTGGTCCCTCCTGTGGGCGTTCCGGCCACAGTGATCCCTCTTATTTCATATCGCGCCTGGTCGGGCGGCGCATGGTCCCTCCTGTGGGCGTTCCGGCCACGGCAGCGGACCGTGTCTGAGGCCGGACTCAGCCGAGGGTCGTCGCGCCCGGCTGACTCCGGGGGCCCTCCGGCGGCGGGCTTTCCACGCTGCACCCGCTACTGAAGGAGAGAAGATACCTCATCACGTAAACAGCACGTGCTTCCGCCGCCAGCCGCCAGGTGGCAGATCGAACACACCCGAGGCAGGGATGGGACGATCCGTGACGGCAGCAACAGTAAAAATTGCCGAAAAGGCTCATACAGGTTCATATGGAATGAAAACCCGGCTAAATCCGTGTTAAACGACTTTTGCGTGGTGCTGGGTCAACAACTTCTCTTGAACACAGCTTTTTGTGGTCTTCCCGATGTCCTCCCATTTCCCAAGTCCCATCGTGTCGTGATATTCCCGTTATCCCGTCCTTATAATACTCTTGTAATTTGCTCTCTTGTAACTTTCCCGTTATGACAAAAGCTGGCTGCAAAATGGACGACGGTGACCTTTACTTTATCCTGTCCTGAATGGATGTCGGATGGATCTTAAATCGTGACGTTCCAATGCTGTTTCTGCACGATGTTCCGATACTTTCAACACAGCGACTGTATTTTCACTCGATCGCCTCTGCCGTCTCGAGCTATGTGTCTTTAAGAGGATGACCGTCCGTCGGACGGGTGACTGGTGCTGCATCGACCGGATGACCCGAGCCGGCAGCCGAAAACCGGTCCTGCGGACTAGCTTCGGCTCTGTGACGTATGACAGAAACTCGCCTGAGAGAAACGGGGACCCGATCGAGCTAAACAGGTAGCCAACTCTAGCAAACATGGGCGGCGGAACGGGGAGGGCACCGGGACACCGTGCCCCCTTTGATTTTGGCATTTTAACATTAGCCCTATGGGCGTTGCATGGAAAGAATGGGACCTAGTCGTCAGTGCCCCCCCCCCCCTTAATTGAAGGTGTTCCGCCGCTACTGCTAGCAAAGGCTAAAACATCAGGATGGGATGTGATAGAAAAGCGTGACCTACAACTCTTATTATCGCGAGAGCGCAGAGATTGGTGACTTGGTGTGAAATAATTGCACATTAGGTACAGCCCTCAGCAGACTGCGTGGTAGGTATTCTTTTTTCGACAAAACCGGTGATAACTCAAAAGCTATGTTATCAGTCGGTCGGAACTCACTGCAAATAGATGCGCCATGCTCCACTTCTTCGACTAGGTCTATCACTAGACAAAGTATACGCCTTGTGTGGCAACAAAATGCAAAAGTCTGTTTTGGGGGCAAATATAAACTTTTGGATTTTGTTGCCAAACTGGATAGAAAATGAAGACGATGATAATGCCAATCTAAGGTGCGAAGTCTCGCGCGTCATACTGTTACGATTTCCGAGTGACCGATGGCATAGTATTCGCGTTATTCTCGGTTTTGTCGAAAAAAGAATACCTACCACGCAGTTTGCAGAGGGCTGTACATACCTACCTACTCGGTTTTCGAAAAATATTCACTGTTCTCTGTTGCATGGCGAGGATGAAGCTGGGGGTGGAATCATATCTGACGGTGCCTACTGGTCATCGAACAGACTGCGGAAAGATGCTCAGCTCAGATGCGTTGTTCGTTGTCTTATATGTTTTTTTTTATCGAGCCATCTGACTTGGCAACTGCTGGATAATAGTCCTGCACACTGAAAGCAAGCGTTGAAGTGGGATCACGTGTCATGCAATAGAGGTTCCGAACCGGAAGGAGCATTGTATCTGGCAGCGGTGGATAGGCTGTGGCGCTGTCACAGTCGATCATCTCTCTGAGTTGTTTTGTCGCTAGCTGTCTGCCCCCAGGCCCATCGGCGGGTTTTCCCACTCAGTGATGCGGCAGGTACGCTTGTAAGAGGTGTGAGGTTCATCGACCTCGGTCGGTATTGAAAAGTGATTAATGGATGAGAGCCCTGTTCATCGATCACATCAATAAAGATAACCCACTTGTCTGGGTAAAGTGGGCAAAACGGTTGCGTAATCGTCAGTGTTGTGACTGCTCTGCGGTTGCAGAACACTGTCTCATATTATGCAAATTCGTTAAATATTTGTAGGGGAAGCGGGGGGAGCACCGCCACCTCAAGCATTTCTGCTCACCGAGCTGATATGCGTAGTAAAAACGAAGCTCTTTTGCATTCATGTGAAAGTAGGAATGTTTTCCTACATGTTGGCATAGTTTCCAGCGCTCCATTATAAAATTTCGCTACTTTACAGACGTCAAAAACAAGTCCTGCATTTTTCGTCCTCCAAAAAATGTGCGGGTAGCACCGCCACTGATGGCGATGTTATCCACAGATCGGCCTTACGGTGGCAGCCACCCTTGGAAGCGTTACTGCTGTCTGAAATAGTAACTCAAACTCATATAAGACACACAAGAGTTGGTTGTTAGTTTGTCACAGATCAGACTGTTTGTTGCGGACAATATGCATACAAAGCATGACAAATTCACGTTTATTTCGAAACATCCAGTGAAGTCAAACGTGAGGTTAAAAAACAGACGACGTTTGCGGCCTAACTAAAGCTCTTCTCCGAGCTGAGTGAATCATCATTGCGGCTTTATCCATTTTGCCACCCCTTGGGGTAGCACCGCCGAGCATGGCGGTGTTACCCCACTCACAGTCATGGACCGACAACGCCCCGACAGCAAAACAAGCCGGGATGCGATTCTTCTGTAATTCCTTTCTCAACAAAGAGCACTTCATGCCCTCAAATTTAACGTAAAAATCAAGGCATTTTGACTTGAAATGACCACTTACTTGCTGCTCAAACATGCCAAATGATTACAACGATGGTTTGAAATTCACAAAATGGGCAATTGCGATCTCAAAATCAAATAAATCTTAGCGAAACCTACCTCACGCGGCGTCCCGTTTCCGTTCGCACACCGAAATGGCGGGTGTTTACATTTACAATTCAGAGTTTTGCCGATAGAGAGGATGGCGGTGTTTCCCACATGGCGGTGCTACCCCCGCTTCCCCTATGAAAGGCTATTATATTTTGCAGCCATGTAACGCAACTCAATTAAAATGTCAAGCTAATCACGAATGACTCAATCATAGGACCACACTGTAACTCATCCGCCACCCTTGCAATGCACGGAACTCTTGCAGTGCTATACGGGTTAAGGTCATCAGTCGTGAATCCAGCACCCTGCAACCGGCAAAGACACTGGCTCTGATCCGTGACTGCAGTGCAGCCGGACGCTCGGTCGCAGAAGGTCACCTTATTGAGGACAGATCCTGCATACATTTTCCCGTCTCGCATCAGAATTTGAATAGCATATGTGCAGGACGGAATACTAAACGCCGAGGCAGGAGGAATGGACGGCGGCGTGGTTTGTTTTCCTTCCCAGTGACGTCATATATTGCGGGTATTTCCGTTCGATGTGGTGCCCGTCGGCTCATTAGTTTGTTGATGGCAGGTGCCCGAGGCGGCGCCAAGTTCCCGATGGCCCTGAGGCTAACCGGTTATATCGGTTCTTCGAGGAGAATTACGTATGGTCGAGCGCCATAATGTCAGGAATCAAACATACACGTATGACGGCAGAATGCGCCGGCCTTTTCTGACGTATAGCCTATGCGAATAAACTTAAATGTGCAGGGAGCAGAGAAAAAATGACGAATGTTTGAGCAGTGAAAAATGACGAATCGGGTTGTCTCTTTTTCGACGCATCTCATGATGACGAGATTGAATAACAATATTTCCGGGTAGTCGCATGATTGATCAATGGATACTTTTGAACCCGTGTAGATATTTTGTTTTATAAATGCTTATCATTACCCTCGTCTCCCACCGAACAGTGGACACACTTATGCTTCTAAAACTATGTCTGCAACTGTCGCATCTAACGCATTTCTCTTGTTTCAGGTTTCAATTTCGGGCACTTGCTGCAACAAGGTAGACCGCCGTTTCGCGGCCATCGCCCTCACCCTCATGGACGGCCCCATCCAGTGTTCGGTGGCTTTGGTAATTGTGGCAGCTGGGAGCTTACGTGCACAGTCCGTACGATCGTAATCCAATGCCTCAGTTCACGACGGTAAAATGTAAACATTTAGTCACAGTTGGCTGCTGATATTAACTGTTTATTGGACGAGTTTAGAGATTATGATATGAAGTTTATGAACCGTATTTGATCACAGTTGGCTGTGAAAAATCTCTCCTCACCTACACATTGATTAGTTTTGAACTATAATACATATTTCACGAACGTCCTGTTAGAAGTGAGCTAAAACCATGAACAAGAGGAAGGATTATGATCGTAGCGGCTGTGTCGACATTGGTGGGCAGTGCCGTCTGACTCATGTTTCCTGTCATGTCCGCCGGACCTGTTCTCTACGACAGCATGTTTGAATCTTCCCGGTGGCCTTGTTTGTGTGTGGATCCCCTGTAGTGATCTGTAGTGGTTATGTAGAACAGTTGTGGTGTGCCTGCTGGATCAGAGTATGCGCTGCAGTATTGTCTACTGTCCAGCTTTGTTGCAGTATCGCAGTAAGCATGCTCCATACGGTTTTTGATTGCATGCTTCTGCCTGTGCGGTATGAGTAGGGAAGGGATGTAGACTTTCATGGAACAGCTAAAAAGATAAGTTTTGACACGCATATAAAGAAGTGTCAGTTTTAACAGTAAATTCTTTCATTGAGCTAACACAAACAAGTTAATCACAAAAATATACACGGATTTTGTTTTAAACCTTCACAAAAAGGAGTCTCCGTTTGGGTCAATTTATATATGCCATGAGTTCACTGCGTAATTCAACCATTTGCAATTTTACGACATTTCACATCTCTTTCTATAAAGTAAGTGCTTTCATGGGGTTCTTGCTAAAGAAGCAGAGACGATGCAACAATTAACTGATGGCTGTCGAGCCCGTTTGTCATTTGCTTTGTACATTGGATGTGAATAATTATGTTTCATACGTATTTCCTTGATTACATTCCAAGCAATATGTTTCTATGTGACCCAAATCATAAAGTACTAGGTATATTTCTTAAATTATGCCATGGATAATCAACTATCTATGACTTTCTGAAATTGCTGCGGCTTATTTCATTCGTTTTCCGAAGTAAGCATTTAGGTTGTAACTTCAGCGCATAGGTATTAGTGTTGCTGTGTCGCAGTATTTTCACTGAATTTATATCTTAGCGAAGTTCCACTTGCATGACATTTGGGTGCGTTGTTCTTCTGTAGTTATCCTGTATGATAATTTAGCAAGTCACAGCCCCCCTCTGTTGAAAAAGGTGCAGGGATGTGTACCGTTTGCCTCTGCATGCGGCTGTAGGTGGTTGGAGAAAATGGGTTTTGTAGTTAGCTTAAATCACATTGAAGTTCAATTGATTTGCTCCGCAGTGCCGGAAACGGCATTGGGAATTCAATCGTCATTTTTTTCATTGCAACTACTGATTATACAGCAAAATGGGCAACTTAAGTAACGTAAAATAATAACCTAACGCACATTTAAACGCCTGCAAACACCTGAATTTAATAGTTAACAGTGTCACTGCTCAAATCGTTAGCGCCATAGCTCAACACATCACATCACAACACATCGCCAAACCCGAGCAACGAACATCATGCATGCTCTAAACACTGAATAGTGACCAACCATGCCGTGACAGTGACAATTAACAAAGGATGCACGCAGGTGACCGCAGCCCTGCCGCTGACCCTGAACCTCCCGCTAACAATGGCAATGCGGAACAGTCGGGACAGGGATGAGGGCGTCGCCAAATCGCTCCCGATTTCGTCACCCTTTCACACGGACTGCAACGCGCAGTTGCGACCGAATATCGTGCACAATTTGCTCAATAGGTGTAGTCAACGGATCCAGTGTAAGAAAGAGTTTGCCGATTAAGTTTGCGTAATTTATGCTTTCTTTGACAACGAAAAAGCTCAGTTTGCCCCGTATCCGTTCGATTTGAATGTCTACATATAGACCATAATGGAAACGCGAGGAATTCGCATTGCAATCGCCTTACTCTTGCAATATCCTGAAAAGTGAAAAGGGATTCTTGACAGATGACGATAATTGCATTCTAGTAGCGCAAGTTACCCTCGAAGTAAAATTACGATGCGGGTTACTGTGAACTTCGGAAAAAATGATTAGTAGCCATAAAAAAGACATTGAGGGGAAATTTGGCATTGGTACTAAATTAGTACCAATGCCAAATTTCCCCTCAATGTCTTTTTTATGGTATGATTGACCATATACCGAGCAGTTCATTGCCGTGATGACAAATAATTACCTAGTCATTCACATGAATATAACGGAAAAGTCCTACACAATGCTTGCAATATAATAATCGATGTAAATATTGCTAAAGCTGACCGTCACCTCCATAAAAACTACACCATGCTAAGTTAGGAAAAGCGCACACAACATCATAATGTGAACCTCAGAGATCACAAGCAAAACGTCGCGAGATATGCTAACGGCTTCTTACACAACCGATGCATATGTATGTAGTTTCTCCGATCACGTATCTCAAAACATGTCAGCACAGTTACCCACAACATTCCAATGACAAGTCCAGAACGCCGCCATATCTCCTGTATCCCTCCACTTCTACAGGAAGCCAGTTCTTCCAGCAGCCGAACCGGCGACAGGAGCAGCAGCAGCAGCAGCAGCAGCAGCAGCAGCAGCAGCAGCAGCAGCAGCAGCAGCAGCAGCAACAGCAGCAACAGCAACAGCAGGGCGGTAACCCGTTCGGACAGCTGCTGAACCAGTTCGGCCAGGCGCTGGGTGGAGCTGTACAGCAGCGACCCAATGGCGGCTTCGTCATCGACGGTCAGCAGGTCCATCAGCAGGCGGGAGCCCTGCTGGGCAGCGTGTTCGGCCTCCGACCCGGCCAGGGCAACCAGGGCAACCAGGGCAACCAAGGAAACCAGGGCAACCAAGGTAACTAATAGCGCCTGCCAAAAGGAGACTCGACACTCGACAAATGAAATAATCAGGATTTACACGGAGGGAAGGCGTTAGGTCGATGAAAATCCAAGACACCCCAATTAATGCATTGTTTCATGCAAACGTCACCAGCAACAGCAAGCGTCCTTATGGACTGTTTTTAGTCTACTGTATTCATAGATTAGCCCGCCAGTCCTACGTAGTAAGTAGTTTGTTTTTCAGTCTAGCTCTCTTTCAGGTAGCCTCGTAGTGCGATGAGCGTGCCGTTAGCACATCCTGCTACGCTTTCTTAAACTCTGCCTTCTGCAGAGTTTTAGCTTGATCATGCCTCCCATCTTCTTATATTATGAGTTATGTTGATCATTCTCGTTTGTTACTCATAGCCAGTAGCATACAAACAGACAAACACTTTTGAAGTTGGGTCATTCCATTTCCAGTAACATGCGATGTTAGTTTTTTTTTTGGCATGGCTCCACAAAGAATCGATACAGAACTTGGTCACTGCATGGAAACTTATTCGCCCATATCAATATCGATATTGGAATGATTGCCATTGTTGGATTTTGTCCAATCTGCCCGTAACTCCACAACAATGCCAACCACTTTAGATGGAAACGGCCATAGGCGTAGGAACGTTTTCGAAAGTGGGGGGGCCAGGGTCCCAGAGGTCCAAAACCTAACCTACCCCCAAAATCCGATTTCTCCTCGGATTTCGGCCACTTTGTTTTCGCAAACATGCTCAGAGGTAAAAAAAAATCGAGACAAAAAAAGAAAAAAAATTGGTTGAAATTTCAGGGAGTCTCCCGTCCATAAGCTCAAACTGATGGACGCGTTCCCCTGACCTCCGCAGCCGTTGGCACCCATGCAAATTCCAGAGGCATCCAGCAACTTTTTCATTACGAGCAAGCGAGAAACGTGCAAAGCGAGTCTTTTCAATATACCTATAAAAATCAGCATGAACGGCCCAGCTAGGCTCAGCCAGGCCTATAACGTTTTTAAGAGGTTTTATATCAGCGACCACTGCAACTGGGCTGATTGACTATCACTTATCAGAGGCCGGTGTGGGATTTTTAGACGGTCTGGGCCTTCAGAGGCCAGTTTAACCCTCCACGGCCCGGTCCTATAGGTTTTCTACATACGCGCTGGCCGAAGGGGCGGGCCGGCGGGTACGACCCCCTCGCCGTTTCGCCCCAGGTGGAGCTAGCGCGTCGCGGTAAAACGAGCGTGTGCGCCGTTACGGGACGCAGAGATCGATACCCGATTTTATGGTCCTAGGTCAACCGGTGACCTCTGACACCGTTCCGTGCTTCTATCCTCAGGATACTGAAATCCTTCTCCTCCACACCGCAACCCCCTCCGGGCTGGACAGGCAACTTTATCTCATGCGGGCTGCTCCCTTGGAGCGGCACCGCTGCTCCCGAGGGAGCGCACCCCGTAGCCGGGTGCAGTGAGTGCCTTGGGGCTGGGTGGCCTGTCCTCTGGACGGGCTCAGCCCCGGCGACTCACTAGGGTGCCTGCCCAGACCAATGTCTCCCCCTATATCCTATCATCCTTCCGGCTCTGAAATGGTCTCATTGGACCGAAAGGGCCTAACCCAACAAAACAAACAAAAACCGGTGACCTCTGAGGTCAGGTCAAGTGCCTCAAGGCACGGTTCCGTTTTTGGTGAATAACTTCGCAAAAAATGGCCGCAGAGCCGCGATTTTGCCAGCATCGTGTTCGCCTCTCTCAGGCGCGTCGAATGATATACTTTTTGTTTGGGTGAGGTAAACTTAGGGTGTTGACCTCGGGTCACGGTCAGGTCGGCGTCCCCAGGTCACGAAATTGGTCGAAGGAGGTCATGTCGCATATCATTCGATTCGGCAGGTCTTCTTGAGTCCATAGGTGGCTTTCCCGACTCGCTAGCTCAATTTGATCGGTACCTAGTTATTGACGAAAAACTAATAAGACCCTTATAACTTCATAAATGACGTCGCGCAAGGTCAACATTGCAAAAGTGACGCATCGAACCTTGCAAGGAGTGCATGAAATCACGATTCGGTGTGCTTGAGATAGTTGGAGATCGATCATTCCCGGCGCCAGAAAAAGTTTTCAGTTTATCCCCATTGACTTATACCTAATGGTGAGGTCACGAAAATGACCTGACCTCATATGACCTTTAGGAAAAATCCGAGATATACGTTATACAAGTTGAAAGACTCCTATTGGATACTAGGTCCTCCAAGGTTCATTTCCCTGTGAAATCTCCTCTGGCAGTGAGGGCGTTGCGAAGTTGCGACATCTGAAGACCGTGCAGAGGTTCACTTATGATCACATGGGTCAGTGACCTGATCTGACCCGAAAATGCGGTTGGTGTCAAAAGATCCCGTTTGATTCAAAGGTCAGGTATGCCAAGCTTCAGCTCTCTATCGCCGGCGTGTTCGGAGCTATCGCGAAAAAAAACTATGGAGGGGCGGCACCCCCCCCCCCCCCGGCTGGCGAGGGTTAAGGCCCTCAGAGACCAGTACAGGGCCTGCAAAGGGCAGGATGAGACCTTAAGATGCCGACTTGGGCCATCAGAGGCTAATGTGGGTCCTTACAGGCCAGTATGGGCCCTCAGAGGTCAGTGTGGGACCCTAAAATGCCGGCATGGGCCGGTGTTGGACCCCAGAGGCCAGCAGAAGACCCTCAAAAACCAAGATGGGCCTCAGAGGCCAGCATCGGGTCTTCAGAATCCAGTGCAAGGCCCTCAGAGACTAATGCGTGTCCTTACAGGCCAGCATGGGCCCTTAGAGGTCAGTGTGGGGCCGTAACAGACCGGCATGGGAGGGACTTGGAACCTAGAGACCAGCGGAGGGCCCTCATAGGCCAAGGTGGGCCCTCAGAGGCCGATGCGGACCGTTGGAGACCGGCATCGGATCTCCGGAATCCAGTGCGGGGCCCTTAGAGGTCAATGTGGGACCCTAAAATACCGGCATGGGCCGGTGTTGGAACCCAGAGACCAGCAGAAGGCCCTCAAAAACCAAGATGGGCCTCAGAGGCCGGCATCAGGTCTTCAGAATCCCGTGCAAGGCCTCATAGGCTAATGTGGGTCCTTACAGGTCAGCATGGGCCCTTAGAGGTCAGTGTGGGGCCCTAAAAGACCGGCATGGGCCGGCGTTGGACCCCTCAGGCCAAGGTGGACCCTCAGAGGCCGATGCGGACCTTTAGAGGCCGGCATCGGGTCTTCAGAATTCAGTGCGGGGCCCTCAAAGGCACCTAAAGGCACCCCAGAGACAGAAATGAGGCCACCAGAGGCCGGTGTGAGGCCCTCAGACGCCGGCTGGGCCCTTGAGGCCGGTTTAGGGGCCCTCAAATGAGGTCAATGTGGGTTCTCAGCGGTCAATGTGGGCGCTTGACCGCCACTGAAGGGCCCTCCGAGATCAGTGTAGGACCCTCAAAGACTGGTTTGGGAGCTGTTAATAGCTAGCGTGGGATTCTTGAGTCTCGTGACAATCGAATAAGGGCCAGAGCCCCATACGCCCATGGGGGCCCATTGGTTGTTTGGGGGGGCCAAATGATATGATGGCCCCCTGATTAGCCTTTGGAGGGGGGAAGGGCATGGCCCTGATCCCCCTCTGCGACCGTCACTGCACTGAAAGTGGAAGGGGGAGGGGCAGAAACAGACATTGCTGGCCCCCAGCCTGTTTGAAACGAGGCTGAGGCACGGTCACCCTGGCCCCCAGCTAGTACGTCTTTGACGAACTATGCCGACCCCAAGCAGATAAGGTCAAGCGTTGGTCGTTTGTATACGCATTCTCCTGCACCGTGCTAGTATTGTCTTAGTATTGCCTATACCTTTTTAGTGCTCGCTGTCCCGCGCCTCGTATTCAACAAAATGCTGTCACCAGGACTCACAGTCTTGTCTCTGATATGGTTTCCTTCATTGAGTGAAGGAAATTGCGGTCAATAACGCTGTAGAAACAAAAAGGAATCCTCATTAAAGGGCAAGCTGAATAGTTGTCAAGTTACCGGGTGGTAGGTTAGGTACAGACAGACACTTAAGTCAGCAAAAAGTGGGGGGGCCAGTTAACATTGCTGGCCCCCCCACCTCCGAAAGTGGGGGGGCCATGGCCCCCCCGGCCCCCCCTGTTCCTACGCCTATGGAAACGGCACATCATAAGCATCAATAAACCTTTTTAACTTACCTGATACTTATCAGGATCCATGGTTTACATAAGGAGGCATTTTAAACCATATGACTTACTAACATCTTACATCTTTTAATCAAAAGTTAGTGATTGGCTCTCATCACCAAGTTCTGTCCTAAACAGAAACAAAACGGCTCCGTTTTGTACAGGTGCAGAAACGCCCATCACCATGTAATATCCGAAATGTGCGTTCGAAGACGAATGAAATACGTCCTATTTTCAAAGGGGTAAACAGCTATGAATTGATTGTTTGCATCGGTCTTGGTGGTCTTAGAAAGAAACAAAGTACAAAAGTGATGACATAATTTTTGGTAGTATCAAAGTGAGAAAAATGCACTTTGACAAACGTCTTTGAATGACCCAAGCAGGGACTTTACCCCGGTCAGCCCGGTGGTTATTATATTTGTTTTTGCGTGAAATGTTTTGTGGTGAATTTCTGTATCGGTACTTTGTGGAGCTACGTTCAAATGAAATTAAAGGTTTCGATGTCCTTCACTGTTTTTATCGGTCCCTTTGTATGGATGTTCGGTGGATTACTGGTCTGACCTGCGAAGTTCAGAACCCAAAGTTGACCTTCAATGTGGTGTGATTACCGTACACATAAGAGCCACCATAAATAAGTGTGAAGAAACACACGGTCCTCGGTCTTCCAACGTAAGCTGCTCTATCTGTCCCCCCCCCATCGCCTTTCTGACCTCCGTTCGACCTGCCCGGTCAGGCGGTGACCTGGACACCCTGGACCCCGAGGACCTGGAGGAGGGTAACAGGAACCGGCAGCTGTGCACCACTGATGACGGCCTGCGTGGCGTCTGCAAGAAGCAGCGCCGCTGTGCCGGAGACCGTCTGGCCATGACTCAGTTTGTGACAGAGTGCCCCGGGCGCGGGGGAGGCCGCCGTCGACGGCCAAAGATCTGCTGCCCGCGACGCAACCAAGGTAGGCGGGATGATGAAATGAAGGGCTGCACAGTCAGATATGTTTTGCAAGAGCCAACAAAATTATGTAGGATATTTAGGATATATTTTGTGAGAGTCACCAGATTCTTTTTCGGAGTTTTTTTTATATGTCTTGATTAGGTGTTTTGCTCCTGTTTAGGTGTTTTTATATGTCTTGATTAGGTGTTTTGCTCCTCACGTTTTAAATGCTTCTGAGCGTTGATGATTGAGCTGCAAGGATAAAAAATGCGGCTATTACAGACCAGCTATTTTGTACAATTATCAGTCATCTTAAACTATGTTTCTCGCATCAGCGGCTATTTTTTTTGCGTTTTTTGGTATCTCATAGGAGGCCTTCAGGCTTCAAAATAACCGCAGCTAGCTTTATTTTGAACTTAGTTGATAAACTTGGCACCATCATTTTTTTTGTTGTGTAAAATCGCTTCCTCACGAATGTTATGTTATTGCCATGATTCATTGCAACTAAAAAAGTTTTTATCGATATTGACAAGGTCACCAACCGCCCAACTGTTTCATGAATTTGATAGCAATCATTTCTAATTAGATTTTTCCAGCGCTGTATAGTGGATATTTCATTTGTTTGAATAATGGATTGCAAATCTGATCGTCTTTTCTAAGTAAGAGAAGTTGGAGCGTTTAAATCGAAATCAAATATGTGTTATGCCTTTGAACATGAGCTTGGGCAATCGTGCATGTAACTATACGACACTGCATGGTCTGCACAGTTCCGGAGCATGCTTACATTCCTTCACTGAAAATATATTAAATTTCCAAGCCTAGGCTTCAAAGCGTGCGTTTCGCTTTGCTTGAACCTATAATAGTGAAGGCAGCGGGGCTTTGGACCCTGCTATGTCACTCTGTCCGTGCAATGCCTATGGGTTTTAAATTATTTTGTCTGAATCTAGAATGGCAAAGGGCTAAGACGAATTACTATTAACTTGCTGTTTATTATGCTTTTGAATTTCAAGGTGCGACCGTTTTAAGTTTATGCTTGCTTTGGCTCCAAAGATGAATTATTCCGCTTATAAAAACGGAAGCCAGCACTGATGTCCAATGTCCATTTCTTAGCTCTTTACACGCACATTTGCCTGTTTGTATCGCTTTTATCAACTGCTTAAATGGCCTGAACACAACATGCACATGCACAACGCTGACTTCTGCTTCCTTTATCTCTGTAACCGACGTTATTTCAGGGGGTCGACCTGGTGGCGGCAGACCTCACAGACCAGGTGGCAGACCGCACAGGCCTGGTGGCGGTTTCAGGCCAGGAGGTGGTGGATTCCAACCAGGAGGTGGTGGATTCCACCATGGAGGTGGTGGTTTCCACCAGGGAGGTGGTGGATTCCACCAGGGAGGTGGTGGATTCCACCAGGGAGGTGGTGGTTTTCATCAAGGAAGCGGTGGTGGTTTCTATCCAGGAAACGGCGGAAGCGGAAGCAGCCCAGATAACGGCGGAATCAGCCCTGGAGGCGGAGGAACAACTCCGGATAACGGAGGGATCAGCCCAGGAGGCGGACAAACCAATCCAGATAATGGAGGATTCGTTCCTGGAGGCGAAGTGACCAATCCGGACAACGGAGGAACCATCAATCCCGGAGGCGGCGAAATCAATCCCGGAGGCGGAGGAGGCAATCCCGCAGGTAAAACTCCACGGAGTGTCTGGAAGGAAACACTCCTCCGTCTCAAAATCGTCCAGGGGATCTCGGTTAAGGGGAATGCGGCACCTTGATTGCATTAGTCGTGGTGGCTGGTTTGGTGGTGGCGTTCTCCGTAGTCTATCTTCTAATGCTGGTGGCGGTATTCAATAGGAGGTCTGGCGACGCTTTCGGAGCGTTCGGTGAGGGAGCTTTCTGACATTCACAGGCTCGTCCACCCAACCCCCGGTCACCAAGGCGCCGGAGACGACGCCCCAGCCTACTACCAGGCCTACGACTAGGCCTACCACCAGACCTACAACTAGACCGACCACCAGGCCTACCACGAGGCCTACAACGAGGCCAACAACGAGGCCCACCACGCCAAAGCCAACGACGAGGCCGCCTCCGCCACAGCTGAAAGGTAACCCGGGAGCAGGGGGGTACGCTCCGGCTGTTTAGCATTACGAAAAATGGTGACAGACGTTTGTGGAGGATTGTCGACGAACTCTTGTTCCGCGAGCAGTACTTACACGCTAGCGGAAAATTCACCAATCAGCGCTCGGCAGTACTCGACGCTGATTGGTCCGACGCTCGTGACGAAATTGCGGGGGACCGCAGTTATTCTCTATGGACCCGAATAGGCTTTTGGATTTCGGAGGAGTTTCTTTAAAATTATATGCTGTTTGGAGCTGTTTTCGAGTTGAAATATATTTCTTATGACTTTTAGCTATATAATGACACCATAAAATCATGATTTTAATAAATATTACCGATGTAATATCGGCCGAAAAGACATGCTGTCATGGCACGGACTGCCCTGCGGCTGATGTGGGGCCCCTAGTGCCAGCGTATGGTAATAATGGGTTGACGAAGGGTTATTGGAGAAACTTAGAGCCCCTTTAGCATTCAGTATAGGGTCATCAGAGGCCGGGAATGTCCATCAGGGGTCTGAGTAGGCCTGTCATAGGGGCATACATGACACATCATGGCCCATGGGTCAATGTAGATCCATTAGGGGCCGTTGAAGGGCCATCATTGTTCAGCGTGGGCTCGCAATTACCTCTGATGGGCATATGCCGTGCCCCGATGGACTAACGCTGGCCCCTGATGAACCATCACCAGCCCCTGATAGGTCTACAAAGCCCTCTGCTGGGTCCAAATTGGTCACTGATATGCCCAAATGGGCCACTGAGATACCCGTACAACATCGGGCACATCCCCTGACTGCACCTGCTGGACCAATGCCGTCCCCTCATGGGCCCACCACAGCTCTTGAATGACCTTTTCAAGTCCCCTGAAGTGCCTTTATTGGCCTAAATGGCCCCTGATTGACTGATGTGGTCCCTATTGGTCCTATATGGCCCCCATGAGCCCTCAACGTCGGCCTAGACAGCCTTACATTATATGCCACTGGGCCCTGTTGGGTCAGCACCGGCCCCCGATAGGCTTGCACACTGGACCCACCGGGCCTATACCGACCCATGAAGGGTCTATGTCGAACCCTCACGGACCTCCGATGACCACACGCCGACATGTGTGGCCCCATCAGCAGTGGTCCGTCTATCCCATGTACTTACGGTCTTTTTGGCCGATGTGACACCGGTAGTATATAGAATGTCATGATTAAATGTCGTTATTACACAGTCAAAAGTCACAGAAAGAATATCCAAGCTCAAAAATGGCCTCAAACCCAACAAAAACTGGTATAAATCCCCTTCAAAAGCCGTAAGTCTATTAAACGCCATAGGGGAATAGCTACAGTCCCCCGCAATTTCGTCACGAGCATCGGGCCAATCAGCGTCGAGTATTGCCGAACGCCGATTGGTCGATTTCCGCTAGCCTGTAAATGCTGCTTGCGGATATAGTTTTGAACAAGTGAGGGTCGCGGCTACTAATTATCGCTTGTCACCACTTTTTCGTCGGGAACGTTCTACCTGGTTTATATAGCCTTGCCCGGGAGTTTCAACGTCTAAATCGGAGCGCTCTTTCATAGAAGGCAAAGTATATCAAGCACCCATTGCACCACATTGAGGGGTTTTATGCCGTGTTGGGGTGCACTAGAGGCAACTTTTCGGATTCCCGATGAGCTTGAAATGTATGGCCAAAATCATGGTTTAAGTACATCACTTGCAAATTGCAGTTAAAGGGACCCTCCCACCTTCAAAAAAGTTAATGAATTGGCACGAAAGTGATGTCGCTCGGTTCAGAAAGAGCGAAAACGAATATCTACCAAATTTCATCGAAAAATATTCACCGGTTTTCAAGATATTAGACTTTTACTTTTGTTTACTTTTTGGGATCTCCGCTGTTCCTAGCGACTTTATTTGAAAGTGCGGCATTTGTTGCGCGCAAAGCAGCATATACCACCGCGTGCTACCAAACGTTTTAGTAAAAGATTTAAAAATCGTTAGATCTCCGCTGACGTCACAAATTCTAAGGGGGCATACCAATGCACTAGCCCCTTAGAATCCGAAATCTGCAAGTTTGAAATTCCATATCTCCGAATTAAAGCATTTGTCGATGTTGTGAGTGCCCAAACCGGTATTTGCAGGCCATGGCCACCAATTTGGCTATCTCAACTCAAAACTAATGTTAAGGTGGGAGTGTCCCTTTAAGGGAAATTAAGGCATTGAAAGTCATGTGTCATCACCAAATAAGAAGTGGCAAAATGTCTGTTTTGTGTAAAAACGAACCATTTTTTTTTTTGCTTACTGATCATCATTAAGCAATCGTTACGTAATTTTGTAGCAATTATTAACTATTTACCTGTATTCGAAGATGGCGTAAAGGGAAACTTTGGCTGGTAGTTCCATGGGAAGCTGTTCGGTGACGACACTTCTCACGAATACGCAGGTCTCGTTGGGTGTTTCTTTGTGTTCACCAGTAAATGTTTAGGTTGTAATGATTTAGGACGCTTCATTTCAGATAGCTCACTCTATCCCAGTTGGTAAGTGACTCAAAAAGTTCGCATTGCGAAGTCAATGCCAAGCCTAGCTTACTCTATGTGGCTTCGCTTTTGTGGTACACTCGGGGGCAGATTGATGTTCCACAACTCCTTATCCACCGGGTTCCTATGGCTCAGCATTGGCAGCAGCCGCCTGGTACCGGTAGACTGTGCCGCTTCACTTACTTGTCAAGCGGCACAGCCTACCCACACCGTATGCCACTGGTCTGGGTCGGTGGCTGTAAGGCGATGTGGGCCGCCTGTGACGTCAGCGCAGCGGTGAGGGCCGAGCCCGGAGGCATGGCTCGGGTCGGCGCGGCGCGGCGGCTGGCGAGGGCTGGGGAGTGAGGTGGGGTGGGAGCACGGACCATCGCGCGGCTGAGCGAGTGTAGTTAACTTTCGCGTCTCAAGGCGCCAATTATTCTACCTAACAATTGTGCTAAAGCAGTTGTTAAAATGTCCTATCCCCAAGACAGCGCCTATCATCATACTTGCCATGCACATTACGACACACTTAAACGTGACATTGGGACAGCCGATAGAATTTATATCACACGTGCATCGAGTTGCGGAGCTACATTGTTTTTAACAGATATGTATTAAGGCCTTGATTGAGCTCATTGGTGTCTATTATTTCGCACATCAATCGTCCAGAGACGTGGGAACTGGGGTTTTTGGATAGCGCGGCGTCCCAAAGCAACTCTTATGTTCCTCTAATGTGTGGTCGCAGCCACCAATAGCAAACCGTTCCATCTAGGAACAAATAAGTCGCGCACCTGGGACGGTTCGAACCGGGTTTCTCCAACCGGTCACCCCAAGACGCTAGCGTGTATCCACTGAGCTGCCGAAACCAGCGACCACCCGCCGCGGTCAAACGCGATCAAATGTCACAATACTGTCATTGGCGGTCAGCGGGTGAATGTCATTTTGTTTTGTGTGGACGAGGACCATTCTCGGTAGCTCAGTGGATGAACGCTCGTGTCGTGAATTGGCCGGTGGGAGAAGCCCGGTTCGAACCCCCCTGAATGGCCGCCTTTTTGGCTCCTAGTTGGAACGGTTTGCTATTGGAGGCTGCGACCACATATTAGAGCAACAGTAATAATCGCTTTAAATTGGAGCGTTGGCTGCGGCACTACTCATAACCCCCAGTTCCCACGTCTCTGGACGCATGCCGTGCGAAACAATATAAGGCACCAATCTGCTCGATCAAGGCCTTAATACTAATATGTTATACAAAATATAGCCACGCACCTCGATGCACGAGTGACATAAGGTTCTATCGGTTGTCCCATTGCCACGCTTAAGTGTGTCGTAATGTGCATTGCAAGTATGATGATAGGCGCTGTCTTGGGGATAGGACATTTTAACAACTGCTTTAGCACAATTGTTAGGTAGAATAATTGGCGCCTTGAGATGCGAAAGTTAACTACAATCGCTCAGCCACGCGATGTCCGTGCTCCCACCCCACCTCACTCCCCAGTCCTCGCCAGCCGCCGCGCCGCGCCGACCCGAGCCATGCCTCCGGGCTCGGCCTTCACCGCTGCGCTGACGTCACAGGCGGCCCACATCGCCTTCCAGCCACCGACCCAGACCGGTGTCATACAGGTGGGTAGGCTGTGCCGCTTGACAAGTAAGTGAAGCGGCACAGTCTACCGGTACCAGGCGGCTGCTGCCAATGCTGAGCCATAGGAACCCGGTGGATAAAGAGTTGTGGAACATCAATCTGCCCCCGAGTGTACCTACATGCATGCTTTTGCCCCTAAAAGGGGTGTGTATATACAGATAGTGAATGCTTTCGTCATCTACCATTTATTTGTGTTCCTTGCTTATGTATCTCATTTTTTTTTTTTACAAATAAGCAGCGTTTAATTATGCACCTTTCACAGAAATGTCGTGTGAGTACTATTGAGTGTGTGAGGTAGTTCATCGTTCTATATCTTCTCCGTAAAGTGGATCCAGATTGCCTGGCTTGGACTTGTCATAGCATCGTGCCAATGTGTGGTGTGCTTTGCTTGAACTGTTATACTGAGTGTTTTTCATCGAGTGTATTTTGCTATTGTACTTAAATAATCATATCCGCATGTAAGTGATAATCACCAGCCTTTACAGTTAATCTTTTTTTTTTGCAAAAGTACCGAGTGCGTTTCTGCTCAGCCCGAAGCCCCGGCCCTCAGCCGGATTCCTTGGGGTGTCCATTATTACCGACAACTGCCGAAGTGCCCAAACTCGCTTTTTACAAGGACTCGACCGTGTGGCGACTTGCGCACCGTTTGCGATGCCTGTGTGCCCTGCTCGTCTGCGGAGCGGTCCTGATAAACCCCTCCACGGTTATCTATCTCCAACCCAGCCTATTATCTTCAGTCTTCACAGATTCACACAACTTGCAATATTCACCATCTCAGCCCGCACCACGACCCGTATAACCACACCCCCACGTCTGACCCTCAGAGTGCGGCATCCCGACGCCCATCACCATTCCACCGGCGCGGCAGCTTCTAACTACCGCTCCTGACCCCCAGAGTGCGGCATCCCGACGCCCATCACCATCCCACCGGCGTGGCAGCGGTCCCGCCAGCAGCGCCGGCGTCGCTCGCCCCAGTCTCCCGGCCCGTTCGTGCCGTTCATCGTCGGAGGCAAGGACGCCGAGATCGGCAAATGGCCGTGGATTGTGAGTTGCGCGGCTGGGAATCGGTTGGTGGTGGGGTTTTAGGGGAGGATTTGGTGAATTAGAGATCATATACTATATGCGAGCTATGTGTAGCCATCCTACTAGACGCGTTTTATTTGAGCTTTGCATGTTGACATTGGAACATGGCGGGTTACAATAGCCATGACGCGAGGTCGTGAAGTTTAGGCATATAAGGTCGTTATTAGAGCAGTTTTAAACCCCTTGGCATATCATTGTGTGTTGTTTTGTTTGGCCTATCACTTGCATGTTGCGTCTTAGTGTTATTTGTTTTCCTTTCATGCTTGCTGAATCCCATTAAGTTTGTGCATCTGGCTTCTATTTACATCATTATGTTTGCTTGTTTACAACTCTGACTACTCCTCTCCCGCCCATGCCCGAAGGCCCTGTTCGGCACCCGTCAGGATAACGGCAAACCGTTCTGGTTCTGTGGTGGAGCGCTGATCGACCACCAGTATGTGCTGACCGCCGCTCACTGTCTGCGACCACGCTCCTTCGACCAGTGAGTATCACCTCCCACGGCCGCCCGCCGCCCACCACCCGCCGCCCACCACCCGCCGCCCACCGCCGCCGCTCCGCCGAGGCAGCTAGCCAGCGACCGCCGGTATTTGGCGGTGCTTTACTGGAAAAGGCCGGCCAAGTGCGACGTCAGATCCTGTCATACCGCATAAGCGATTATAGCTTGTTGCGTAGTTACCTGAGTGACGTGCGGAGAGTTGAGAGTTGGCAGACTGACCCCTCTCTGACCAGTAATCTCTGACAGCTGACCGCTGGCCGATGATATCTAACAATTGAACACTCACATCCGGTACAAACTATTCAACAGTTATACCTACAGATTACAGCCCTACATTATAGTCTTGAGCTTTATCATCAACCAGTTGTTGCGATTTTCCAAGCAATAGTATTGCCGCGACATCACGCCAAGTATTGACCAAGCGTTACGAAAAAAAGTAAGCAAAAACTGCTAATAAACCAATGCCTTTCTATCGCCCAACAGTTGCTAATGTATTGTCATTTTCTACTAGCCACCCGACCAGATAAACATGCTGACCAACCATCTCTCATCACTCATTAACGTCACAAATAATGGACCATTGAGCAACAAAGACAAACTCACAAAGCTATGAAATTGGCACGACACTGTTCAGCAAATTATTGACAGCCATTGTTATGGAATTAGGAAGAATTCTGAATAAACTAGTGGCCCATGGTTGTCTGCTGCTGACGTGTATCCTTTCCACCGGCCATCCGATAAGAAAACTTCTGACCACGAAATAACTACCTTTCCAACATCCTACCACCAAAAATGGACCATTGACCAGCTAGGACCCATTCACCCAGATCGCTGACCACCATATAGCAAACACTGACCACTGGTACCCCGTGTCTCTCCCTCCCCCGACAGGAACAAGCTGGTGGTGCGTCTCGGTGAATACGACACCAATGACGATAACGATGGTGCCAACCCCCGGGACTTCGCGGTGGAGCGAGTCACCAACCATCCCAACTTCAAGGTCAGCTACCATTGGCCAGGCAGCGACCGAGGCCTCGGCGGATGACGCTCGCACTTAAAAACCTGTTCGCAGCGCGGCTGCATATGAATTAACAGAAATGACAGTCGAGAAGGGAGCTCGGGACGGCTGGGGCGGCTGAAGATGTGCACTTCAGATAGCCGCTGTTCGGGGTATCGTTGTTCATGCTACATGGAAAGGAAGTAGTGATCAGTCATACCGATATTCATATGTTAGCTTGAAGCTTTAGTTTATTGTAAGGAAATCATATAAAGCGATGAAAGGGTGTAACAGGCATAACCTAACGTCTAACGGGCGTAAAAACCGTTTAACGTCTCCGAGTTAATTCAACCTGACCTTTTCATTCATTGTTTGTATTTGAGTGCTTTGCTGTACATCTTAGAAAACTCACATTCCATGAAATTACGTCCCATCTGACTTCTCTGACGTCAATCTAACGTCTCTCTAACGTCATGCCGGTAGTTCCCGGTCCTCCACGACGACATCTCGCTGGTAAAGCTGGCGGCCCCGGTGCCTTTCGACGACCTCATCAAGCCCATCTGTCTCCCGACGAACCGCAATCGTGGCGACTACTCCGGCTCGCAGATCGATGTGGCCGGCTGGGGCTACACGGAATTCGGTAGGTGGTCTGGCTGGGTGGCCTAACCTGTGTGTAACCCTGTCCCTCGGTTTTTGTATGTGACCTGTGATATAATCGCCCACTGTGCTTTATGCGCCGTTCTAACTATCTGAAGGATCTGCAAGCTCTTCCTTTTCCTGTTCTTTCATTATCAACGTATTGTCGATGTTTCCACATGATTGGCTCGTAGGGTTAGCGAGAGACGGTGGTGGCATTTTATCTGTCTATATTGTATTCAGTGTTCACATTTAATCTGCTTTGCCAAAATTTAACATTTTTATATAAATGTTACTGATCAATGTCATATAACTACTTAAACAATCGCACCGAGCTATTATACCACCATCATCAATGTGTCCCAAGTCTTTATATCACCAAGTACCAACACATTCAGAATCTGGCCTCTGCGTATGCTCCATGGGTGACATTTGACGTACTTCCGTGCCCTTGCGCCAGGTGGCGAGGCCAGTAACGTGCTCCAGGAAGTACGTCTGCCCGTGGTGGGTATCCGGGACTGTCAGTCCAAGTACGAGAGCGCCCCCAGCTTCCCTCGCCAGTTCCCGGGAGGGTTCGGAGACACCAAACTGTGCGCAGCAGAGAAGGCCGGAGGAAAGGACGCCTGCCAGGTGAGGCTGGGGTGGATGAACTTGTTGAAACGGTTACCTAGCATGGTGTAACGATAAAGGAGTTACTCAAGAATCAACCCTCGTGGGGTAGAAACTTATGTGAAGGGAAGCCATTATGCAAGAAAGAGATTTAACCATCGATCTTTTTTACTTAAGTCTATGTATGCAAATATTCGCTATCTCATTCGCTCATTCATTCATTCGTAATGTCGCTCGTTCGTTCTTTCTCATGTGTTCGTTACACTATTCGCCCGACAAATCAAGATGGAATGTACACTAACAGAAATCAACTCTTCAAAATGAATAAACTTAACAGTGTAGGCAAGAAGTGTGACAGAATATTCCATTATTGAACTGATAGCGCCTTTCCGATTGATGAGTAGGTACGAGGCCCCAGCCGGCCGAACTTGCGCTGTCCAGGGCTGCCCTCTGACGGCAGAGCTTTGCACTAGTAGATCCTCTGTCAACAGTGGCCCGGTGCTGCCACTCCCACTAGATTTTAGGTACTATCGTCTGCCCGGAAGTCTTTGTAGCTGTGTATTGTAACTGCGCCTTAGGCAGCACTGACTGTGGCGTAGCGGTGTTTGATGTATGGCGATTTTTATCGAATTTCAGTTGACATTTGCACCCTCAGGCTCAGGGTAACTCTGAAAGCGGTGTGGCTCCGTATTCCGAACCCCTGGACGATCTGTGTTACATACTCCGTGCCTGAGACATACTTTTCATCACCGTTCCGTGCTTCTATCCTCAAGATACTGAAATCCTTCTCCTCCACGCCGCAACCCCCCTCCGGACTGGACAGGCAACTTTATCTCATGCGGGCTGCTCCCTTGGAGCGGCACCGCTGCTCCCGAGGGAGCGCACCCCGTAGCCGGGTGCAGTGAGTGCCTTGGGGCTGGGTGGCCTGTCCTCTGGACTGGCTCAGCCCCGGCGACTCACTAGGGTGACTGCCCAGACCAATGTCTCCCCCCTATATCCTATCATCCTCCCGGCTCTGAAATGGTCTCATTGGACCGAAAGGGCCTAACCCAAAAAAGACATATTTTTATCTTCAGTGCAAAGTCGGTGGTGAGATACCACTCGACTGTACTCTCAAGGTGCTTCTGACAGCCGTATACTCCATGTTTCCTAACCCTAGTTCGGCTCTGTAAAAAAATATGACTCGTACCCTCCGGTGTGGCTCTATAGGTATCCCGTATCCCCGGTGCGACTCTGTATAACTCTATATCCCGTGCCCCCAGGGCGACTCTGTATGACTCTATATCCCGCACCCCCAGGGCGACTCTGTATAACTCTATATCCCGTGCCCCCAGGGCGACTCTGTATGACTCTATATCCCGCACCCCCAGGGCGACTCTGGCGGCCCGATGGTGCTCGAACAGGGAGGTCGGTACGAGCTGGCCGGAGTTGTCTCTGCCGGAGTCGGATGTGGAACCCCCGGATTCCCGGGAGTATACACTCGCGTCAGTGCCTACTTGGACTGGATTCAGCAGAACAAGTTCTAAGGCGGAGTCCCGGTCGTGGTAACTCTTGTTGAAGACGTGTTCTGTGGACGTGCTGAGGTGCTCTAAGTGCGGTTGGCGGCGTTGAAATGTGATGCTGATGCTCACAGCACGTACTCTTCTAGTGTGGTGTCTGATGATGATGCCCTCGGACATAACTGGTGAGGCAAAAGAAAGTTGAAGAAGACTGTAGTTTTTTTTAGTCGTGGATTTTAGGCATTCACCGCAACATGCTTTTGGCGAAAAACGGCCAAGAAAGATGTGCATCTCTGTTTGTTGAACTGCTGCAGCTCATTGTTTTCAATGAGTGGGTGTATTTCTTATCGTCTTGTGTAATTATATATCGCTCCAGCTAAGAATTGCTGGCTATTCGTGACGGGTTTTAGGACAAAAGAACAACATTGTTGATAACATAAAACAACGCATTCATCCCAGCTCTCAAAGTGAATGCGTTGTCGCCATTGTATATTCGGCACTTGTATTAGCAATGTGTTTTATCGCTTGGACAGCATGACAATAAGCATTTGCCTGAGAAGGGCACCTGCACTCCCCGCTGTGTAATGCCTCGCTCGTTACAGAGGCTCACTGTTCACATTGGACGGAGGCCTGAACTCAGAACCGGAACCCTATCGTGGTATTGGTAGCATCGATCCAGATACTTCGCTTTGATTCCGCACCATAATAAACATTTTTACAGTGTGCTATTTGTGTAACGTCACTTAACCGCTCAGAGTAAACGAGTTGTGGTTACTGTTTTCATGATAAAACAGAACGATCACCGCATCCATCCCTTACAGACACATCACTGATCACACAGTAGATGACTGCGAATAACCATTTATTCCTAATCAGCTGGTAGAGATTACACACACTGCCTGCATACATAAACCTTGAACATTAACTTTATGGTGCATCTAATCATATATGACTTGTAAACATATTGATTGAAACATAAAATGCGCCATTGTATCGATTCTTTTAAGCACAATCGGCCTAGCCATTCTTGAGCTGTGGGAACGGCCAGGTATATGGAGTGGCACTCTGCACGCGCGCACGTGCAAACTGGGTTCCAACTGACTTTTGCACGGCCGGCACCCTACTTGTCTATCATCTGGACCAGATGTGCACTGGAGTACTCTTGCCATATATCATAACACGACAAAAAAGTAAGACCATCATATGTAAGTTTGTGTAAGGCCCACCGCTCTCACCACTCTCTCACCACTCATCTTGATGGGACTTCCTTTGCCATAGTTACAGGATATATTGATTGTCAAACTGTAAATCTTAGTATGTACAATCTTTAGTGACACAAATCCATTCTTATTCTGACCCTCACAGTACATGGTAGTGCAGTGCGTGCAGTGCACTAGTAAATAATCGTGACTGCCGCACTGTGCGTGTGTCACCGGTATAATCACTGTGTTGTCCTTTGATGTAAATCACCTATGTTGGGCTGTTGGCCTGATTTTCATCTCGGTCTTCTTTGGTGAGTCCAGTCCCCTCCACATGACCCACCATATTCCAGCCCAGTCGCTGCTACGGCTGTCCTGGTACGGCCCATTCATGGTGCTGTATCCGCACACCCTACCAAACCACCAGGCCCCTTGGACGCGTCGTGCACAGTTATAGTACGACGAGCCGTCCTGGTCACGGTCATAGGTCGAGAACTTCTCATTGACGCCATACTGCAGACCATCCCCGGCATTTCCCGAGTAGTTGGAAATCCTCAATCTGTAGCCATCCAGTTCAGAAGAGATGGCGAATCCTTGATACAAAGCGTATGCCTGCCTGCCGTTAAACGCCTCTAGGTCAATACGGAGCTCGTACCGTCGGTCCTTTGACGACGTCAGCTGCCTTATCTTTTCCAAGCCCCACCAGAATTCCTGGGTTTCGTTGCCGAATCCTTTCTTATAAGCCGACCATCCGAGGAAGAAATTCTGGCGGGGTTGGATGTCGTTTCTCCGCTGGATCACCGTCCAGTTCCCTCCGGCAGTTTCCATATCGCAGAACGCCTCGACGTATCGTTGTTGACTGTCAACACTGGGCCGAATGAGGTAAACTCCAGATGGGGAGCCGGCAGGCAGGTCGCTGCAATCACGTGGGTGTTTCTGCTTCACTGTATCGTTATTCATAGTCACTGCAACGTCGCCGTCCATGGTTTTTTGTTCGCTGAGTAGACTGCTAAGTTTGTTCAGCTGTGACTGCTGACTGTCGAGCCTCGTAGCCAATTTACGCATTTCTGTATTATACTTTTCCATGGTGATAGCGATAGCTCTCAGTCGTTCTGTGTGCTCGTTCCCTGTGACAGTGTTCTCGTCGTGCTGGGAGTTCTGGCCGATCAGCTGTGTGATGACCTCGTCTAGCTGAGTCTGCTGGCCGTCCAGTCGGCCGGTCAGCTCCTCCATTCGGGAGTTGAGCAGAGTCAGCCTGTCTTCGATGGACTCCAACTGTGACTCGATTCTGCGTTCTAAAGTCGCCATCCTCGACTCCAGCCTGATCTCCAGCTGTTCTTGTCCCGACTGCAGTTGGCTGATGATTGGCTGCAGCTCAGAGTGCACCGCCAGCTTTATGAACTTTGTCAGCGGTATGGACTTGCCCTCGGCACAGCCAGCCGTCACGATCAGCGTGTTCAAAGCTAGGAACGTCGCCACTCTGCCGCTGAGGGCCGACATGTTGACACTGGTGCAGAGAAAGCAAACCTCCAGCGCCGACTGCCGACCTCGAACTGACGGCTCGGAGCTGGCAGAACGTCTGCAGAGCTCGGTGCGATTGGCCTCTATCAGAAGCGTCGCATCCGGCGTCACGGCCCGGTCCCGTGACTGACACAGCGATAAACTCAGCGATAAACATTTCAAGTGGCCCCTGACCGCTCTGTTGCAGGGGCCTTCCTCCTCCTCATGGCAGCCGCATCCATTAACCCGTTCATGTGTACACGTACCTATTGTCTAGTCGGCGCCATTGACGACCGTGGTAATTTTTTTACAGCATCACCATGTTCGGCGTTCGCACTGTGTCCGATACAAGCAACGGTCGCGAACTCAGGCTGCAACGACAAAACTTACATACAGCTAGAAATGCCACTCGTATACCAACTTCTTGGGGGGGGGGGGTATATAGGGTCTTGCTTCTTGGTGTACCTATACCGATATTTGTCGTGACACATTGTTTCAGATAGACACGTTTTTGGGTCTAAAGAATCAACTTCTAAATTTGACCTCATTTAATCCTATCCTGACCTGACCACGACATGAACTTCATCTAAATATGGTCAATATAAGCCGTTTTCACGACGGGCTATCCGGCGAATTTGCACTTAATTTGACCAAATCTGCACCTACTTTCTTTTACAGCAAATATATTCATTTTATGAATTTACTTCAGTGTGTAATCGATGATGCTCTATGGTAATATGACAAAGCAGGCATATAAGCAATTAGTGCACCCCTAGCTGATAGCTGCTAAGAGACCCACTGAACCTGATTTGACCAAATCTGCACCTAATCTGTACCAGATGTGCACCAAATTTGTACCAGATGGCCGTCGTGAAAACGGCTATTATTAACCCGCGACCTGCGGCCGATTTCATAAAGGTTTGGTAGTAATTTACACCTAGGTGCATTTCTCACCCCTCAAAACTACAACCACACTGAGGGAGCGGTTTCATAAAGCTCGGAGGGCATAAATTTCGGCAGTTGTAGTTTTCTGCTTGCTTTGATTGCATTTTACTACCAACAGAACTTTAATAAATATTTTAATTCTGTGAATTATCAAAGTATTAGCATGAAATGACTTAATTATTTTAATTCATCAATGATAAAATTAAATGTGATGTTTAAAACAATAATCAATAGGTAATCAGACAAAAATTTATTTGCTATTCTTGCATTAGGAATTGTAAACAAAAACAATCGTCCAAGGCCATAGAGAAACTACTGCATTCATTTTGGCCGGCTGAATTAGGTTCAGGATATTGATATATATAAATCCCTTTTGTACATTGATTGCTTGGGTGTTCATTTGTTTCTGATATATATGTTTCAGTGTTTGATTTATGTTTTGATGTGTCCAAACGATGAGAGCGTCGCAGCGAAACAATAATAAGCTGCTGCCCAAGGTTTGGCCTTTCAGTTGGGCAAACTAGACCTTTGGAATCAAAATATGGAGGCATCAAAAGATTGATTCCTTTTGGGCATAAATGCAGACCATTTCTAACTTACCAATCACATAAAAATAAGAGAGTGTTTGAAGAAGGAGCATGCCTGATCTTGAACAGAAATGCTTGAACTATCTCCTAAGCAAAATAATATTGCTCCTATCATAACAATTTGAATTCTATAGGTAGTGAAAGGCAATCAAGGAATTGATTCACTTTAAACAGATAATCATAATATTGATTCCCCATCAGCTGGCTAATCATTATTTTGATTCACAGGTAATGTTAACAGATAGGCAACAATGACTTGCAAGAATACAGTATTTATCTTGCTATTATTCTCATTTAGTGGTATCCTCATCACCACAACTGATACCTATAGCATTGTTGTACTTTACCTTCACTACAGTTGATAACAATTCACAATTTTTAAATGTCAAGAATACAAAAACTGAAGCAACAGGTAAAAACCATATAAATAATATAAAAGCACTACAACAATGATAATTAGGGGTTTAAAAATTTCATTTTGCCATTTTACACAAATACTGATTGGTTAGAATGTGATTCATGATACAAAAATAACATACAGTGTGATTTCCTCAAAACAGCTTTTACGTGATGGACAGTGGCTCGGTCTTTTTCCCATTCACAAGGCCAAAGGGACAATTTCTTAGCTTTGAGGTAACACTTTTTGCAAACCTACCACATTTTTCTACCTTTTAAAAGAAAAATCTCACCGTCATGGGCCTTTTTTCAACCGCAACGATTCATTTGAAGTCAAAAGTGTACCCAAATGAATCAAAAAATTGATTCCATGCCCATATTTGGTCATGGCTCCTCCCACCAGAATCAAATTATTGATGCCTCCATATTTTGATTCCAAAAGTCTAGTTTGCCCAACTGCTTTGTTGAGTTTGAGTTTCAGTTTGGTTAGAAGGCATAGCGCCTCTCCTTAGTTCAAGCTGCAAAAACGAGTGCGACGCGGCTAGTTCTGACTACTGAAATGTGAGTATTACATCACTTGCCTCACACAGCTTTTGCTAATTGATGATGTGGGTACTGGGTAATCCACAGCAACTGGTGTCAGTGTTCATGTGTTACTGTTACGGCATAGTTGATGCAGCAATGCAAAGTATCTATGTACCATGAATTAACAACTCAATCTTCTGCCAAGGTCAGGGTGGCAACATGAATGGTTTTGAGTATAAGGATGATGAAACTATTTCAGGCTATGTCAATACAAAAGTGGACTAAAAAGTGTTTGTCATTCTGATCCCATAAAAGCATTTGCAATGACTCATTGGTAATTTGAATTGCTGTGTCTTTTGTCAAAATCCCCATGAATATTTCTATTGACAAAGTACACTGTACAGGTATTTTGCCTGTAGTAAGTACGGATACTGCTCAGTCAGGTGCTGTCACCCGTTTGTGCAAAAAGTCTCCAGACTTGTCAGTTCTTGAGATATTTACACAAAATTTGCTTAGAAAAGTCATCAAATAGTCTAACAGAACAAAACATGCCTCATCTAACTTGACCCAACTTTACCTTATAACCTACAACCTACCACCTACCAACCTACCACCCAGCAACCTACAAACCTACAACCTACTGCAGCTTTTGGTGAATTTTGTATAGATATCTTCAGAACTGGCGAGTCTGGTGACTTCACAAACAGGTGGCAGCACTGGAGCCACTAGCTAAGCTATAAGATTGCCAAGAGCCAAAGTAAGGTTGTTATTAATATCCTTAATCCTATTTTCCAGCTGCTGAAAGGAAGACTGGAGGGCCTTTAGCAGCAGTAGCAGTGGAACTTGGAAGGCTGCCTGGCTGGCCTCTACAACAGAGACGAAGTTTAGAAGTTATTTGTCAACAATGTTGTCCATATTGCAAGAGGTGAGACCATGTACCTATACTTTATTACCTAGGGTAGGTATGGTAGGCAGTTTCCCATAATTTGTTGATTTGGGAGGGAACAGGCAAACATTTAAATAAAATCATTTTGCACTAATCTCTGGCTTTTGAGAGCAATTTTCCACTTCAAATTTTACCAAGAAAAACATTTGCATGTCTAGTCATTAGTTGTATGGCTGTATTACAGTGATGTATTGGGGAAGAAGTTAACAAAACGTGATAACGTTGTTGGTGCATTCAAAGATCTAGTACCGTTTGTCATTAGATTGTAGGTTGGTACATTTGTTGACATGAAGCTAACAAATTAAACAGGCTGGCATTTTAAACAGACTGTAACAGTCTTACTGCCATAGTTGATTACAGGCACTGGTTGTTTTCAGTCAAACTCAAGTTTTGAAGCAAACATTTCACATTTTTTATTGTGTTTCAGTTGTGCTAATTGTGTTCCAGCTTATAAGGTCTTTAGAATGCAATTAAATGTAATACATGTAATGCACGCATGTTGCAGGTGGCTGACGAGCACCAACCAGCGTGTGCAGCAGCCTTTCCGTTGTAAACGGTGCGCTGACCGCGGAGCCGGGGGTTGGCGACCGCCGGCTGGCACTCACCACCGTCCACCCCAAGCTGGCCATCATCGACTGGCTCGAGCACACCAGCACGCTGAACCAGTTCATCAGCTCGACGTTCCCCGACTTCGAGCAGTAGTGCGCCGAGACGCGCGAGCTGTTCAGTGGGAGCAGATGAAGCGACATGGGACTCAGAGCGGCGCCACTGACGTGCAGCTGCAGCTGATCGGAATCGACAGGACACGTGTTCGCGGCTCGGCCACCACTCATCAGCCTGCTGCTCGTGCCGTTCCGTCTGACGGCGCAGATGACCGGCCTGGCGGCGTCCCTCGACGCGTCCGGCCACACCCGGCTGCAGGCGCTGCGCTCGTCGCTTTGGGTTGTAAATGCCGGTGAGCAGTGAGGGTTGCCTCGCTGAGTCGTGTGGGCGCTCGTCACTGTAGAGGTCGCTGTGAGCGCTGTGCTCCTCTTCGACCAGAGGATAGGTGGCGGTAGCGGTCGGTACGCAGTCAGCAGCGTACTGCCACGTCATAGACCGATTGAAGGTCTTCAGTGCGTTATGAATATGGCGCGGGTAGCTCGATTCCGGCGGCGGCGTGACATGGTGACCCCGTGACCTCTAGCCGTGTCGGTCCGTGTGCGCGGCCCATTCGCCCCCGACTTGGGTTGTCGATGGCGGCTGCCGGCGCCCTTAAAGGGACCCTCCCACCTTCAAAAAAGTTAATGAATTGGCATGAAAGTGATGTCGCTCGATTCAGAAAGAGCAAAAACGAATATCTACCAAATTTCACCGAAAAATATTCACCGGTTTTCAAGCTATTAGACTTTTACTTTTGTTTACTTTTTTAGGATCTCCGCTGTTCCTAGCGACTTCATTTTGGAAGTGCGGCGTTCGCGGCAGATGTTGCGCGCAAATAGCATATACCAACACTGCTTTACAAAGATGTTAGTATAAGGTTTTAAAATCGTTAGATCACCGCTGACGTCACAAATTCTAAGGGGGCATCTCAATGCATTAGCCCCTTAGAATCCGAAAACTGCAAGTTTGAAATTCCATATCTCCGAATTAAAGCATTTTTCGATGTTGTGAGTGCCCAAACCGGTATTTGCAGGCCATGGCCACCAATTTGGCTATCTCAACTCAAAACTAATGTTAAGGTGGGATGGTCACTTTAAAATCGTACGTGTTTTAGACAAATTAAAGGGAAGTGATAGTGATATCAAAAAGGTATAATTTATTTTTCTAATGATTTTATTGCGTGCTTTGACTGAGTGTCTTGATTTAAGTTTGTTTGCTTTCAAATTTACGATAATACAACAGCACAGGGTCAAAAGGCGGTTAAGACGTAGAACAGTAGCTGTTACATTGAGGCTTTGTACGCGAGCCGGCCGGCCGAGTGATAACTGCGCGCGCGCGCCGTATAAGAGATACTGATTCGGAGATGCTGATTTCCAAGATCGTCGAGCGCCAAGTTCTGCGATGGCAATATCTCCTGAATATAGTGAACACTGAACACAGCGACAGATGACAACGCCTTGACAATTGTTTTCGTCGTAATACGTGCTACTCAAAGAATGCCACGAAGGTGTGTCGTTGCTTTATTTGCTAGTCCGCACATCTGAGATCGTTTGAGACAAGTGTTTGAAGTTTAACCGGAATCGCTCTGATAGCTGCGATGCAAATTCCAACAGCTGTTATTCTACTAATGAATAGGTAATTATGCTATTGCTGGCCATGAATTATGAATAAATCACAAATTTTGTAAAAGCAAGGATTGTTTCCGACCGGACAAAAGCACACATTTTCAGAAATTTTGGCGGGTGGGGTAGGAAAGGGACGCAGCCGGCCGCTGACTGCACGTTCAGGTGCGTCGTGGCGTCGCTGATGAAGTACACGGTGCATATGTTTATCACCAAGAAATTCATGCACTGTGATATAAAATAAACAATGAAACAATTCCAAACATAACCACCCAGACAGACGCCGATCCGCCCCCAACATGGCAACACGCTAATAATTTCCTCGAAACTCGCTGAAGACGACTCGCCCACCATTTTGAGCAATATATGCCCCGCTGCGGAGGCGAATCGTTCACTCGCCCAGTCGGGGACGCAGCCGGCCCCATCACACAGTGTCAGACACTGAAACAGTTTAATATAGGCGGTTTTACACAGTCTGGTCCAACTATTATGGGACGCGCTTACCGCGGGCGCCGCAGTGCTCGCAAACGTGCAGCGGAGCCGCTTGTCCGTCCACGTACTCGCTGGCGCCGATCTGCTCGATCAGCGACAGTATCCGCTGGGCGGTCTGCTAGCGCGCCACCTCGGCCAGGGCGGACGGACGGCGGGCGGGGCAGTCGGAGAGTTGGTGCCGCTGTCCGGGGCCGCCACGGAAGGAGCGGCCGCCGCCGGCTGCTGGCCAACAATCGGCTGCGACACCAGCTGCTACAGCTGGGCAAGCTGCTGGCGGCCCTCGTTTAGCGTGGTCAGTTCGCGCTCCAGAGCCTCCTCTCACAGAAGTGATTCTCGAGCTGTACCAGCGCCGAGCACAGCTTCTCGTGCTCGGCAGAGTCCACAGCGCCGCCGCCCATGAACTGCTGCAGCCATGCGCGCAGCTCCTTCTGCTCTCTAATGATGTTCTCATAGGCGGCCGCGGTCCCGGTGACTGGATGCGGCTGGAGAGGTTCGGAGATGCGCGCGGAGGCCACTCCAGCGCTCCGGGTTCCAACACGGAACCGGCAGCGGACGGCAAGGCCGTTGTGTGATGAGCCAGGACGGCTTCTCCTGATGTGCCCTCTGCACCAGCTGGCTGCTCACGGCTGGCGCGCTCTATGGGACACGGACACCGTGTTACCGTTAGACGATCCACTAACGTGTTATCATGGGACAAAAAGGGAGGTGTAAGATGCAATACTCTGTGGCGTGCCCTATTGGAAGAGTGGGGAAAAGTGTAAGATGCTGCTATGGGACATGGAAGCAGATGTAAGAGAAGAAAATCTGCCCGAGCTACCACATGCAGATTTTCTTCTCAAGATGCAGGGCTGGAAAATGATCAAAATCACTTCATGTTACATTTTAATTGGATAATACATAGGTACACAATACAAACAAGACAGTACTTTGTTCCATTTCCAGCCATTGCCAAAAACAATAGATGCTTTATGTATGCAAAGCTCCTATATGAAGCGAAGCAAATTATTGAACGAAGAAGCAAATTGACAAAGAACCTTTGACCATACTAGGCCATGGGTGGAACTTTTCAAAGGAAGTTGGGTTATCAATTCATAAAGCAGGCGTCTCATATGCTGGCAACAGTTTTGCGAACAGTTTCTAGAATCCAGTTCTTGAGATATTAACAAGAATATCACTTTGAGCTACACATTGTGTTAGGTTTGCGTTTTTAGGATTTAGGTTGTAGGTTGCTGGGTTGTATGTTAGTAGGTATAAGGTTAGGTCAGATGATATTATTCTATTAAAGGGACCTTCCCCACTTTCAAAAAAGTTAATGAATTGGCATAAAAGTGATGTCCCGTGGTTCAGAAAGATCAAGAACAAAAATCTACCAAATTTCAATGAAAAATATTCACTGGTGTCAAGATATTTGACTTAAACTTGTGTATACTTTTTGGGACCTCTGCTGTTCCTATTACGTCATTTGGTAGCAATAATTTGGCATCCTTAAGCTCGGCAAATGTGCATAAATATATTTTTTTGACTTTCATATGCCATTTAATACAAACATCTCAAGGAATGGAGTCAAGCAACTTTCTATCAACAGTTGGCCGCATGTGAGACACCTGTTATGGTGACAGCGGAAGTTGGTGAGGCAAAAAGATGTCAAACCTACAATATCTGACTGTTACGTAGAAAAAATGCTACACTACCTATCCATTTTTTGAATACAAACTAATTTTAAGAATACAAAGACATTTAGAAGTTGCGCATTGCAAATGACATTGATTTAAAGAGCAACAACGACCTACCTACCTCCAACTTACTAAGCTACAGCCTATCAACCTACAGGCTACAATCCATTTGGCATTCAGGCCTTTTGTATACTGATAATAATACCAGAAGCCTCTTTGGGTATAGCAGCTCACCTTGGTTGGAAGACCTTCAATTGATGTAGGTATGCACTCCAACTCGCAATACTGACAACTTGAGACCAGTGAATCTGTTGACGATGACGGGCAAAAGTATCAATATTAATATCAATATAAGTACCTACATATGATGATGTAGCTGACAACTGACATATCAATATTACACATCACTTGTGGCAAAAAGCATTATCACACTCATTTTATATATTACCATGTCAATGTTGAAGAAAGAACATTCAAGTGGCTCCCTGCAAACTCAGTTGGGCAAACTAGGCGGTGGGAATCAAAATATGGAGGCATCAAAATATTGATTCTCTTTGACCATATATGGGCATACGTGCAGACCATCACAGGAACGTCAATTCTTCAGCAACCGGCTATAATTTCAAGATAGCTTCTTCACAAAATGAAGAACAACGTTGAAGCTACCCGCCAGGCACGAAACAATAGCCCTAACCTCTTTGGTTAGTTAAGGAAAGCGTCTTAAAAATAATCAAGATATTGATTCATCACGGCGGCTAATCCCGGCGAGAATCAATATTTTGATTCCGCAAACAGCTGGCTAATCATTATTTTGATTCTGAAATCAGCTGGTTTATCAATATATTGATTCTGCAAACTGACTTTCTGCAGGCGTACTTAACTCTTCAAATTGATTTATGGAATGTTTCTTGTGTGCAAATAATGCAAATTCAATAAATTCATGAAGATATTATCAGCACAGGATCGTGTAATTTTTTTTCTAGACCTTATTCCCACGGTAGACCAGGGATTTTCAGCACTCGCCCTGGCTCCCTGCTCAAAGCTGCAAGCCTTCGAGGGAATGCGTGAAGGGAGCCGTGCTGACCTTTGTATAGGGGTTGTACTGAGTCGGAGCCGGAACCGAAGCCCGACCATTTTACTCGGAGCCGGAGCCGGAGCTGGAGCCGATTTTTTTCCTCCGGAGCCGAAGCCGTCTGACATTTTCACGGCCCCACATCCCTGCTTTGTAGTATTGATTTTGAGTAAAAAAAAGTTAACATATCGTCTTTCACGTGTTCATGAATGTGTTTCTACGCATCTGTATCCCGTCCCATTTCTGTGGAGTACAGTAAGAGATATTTCGCCGAACGATACACTCAGCCCGTTGCACAAATTGCACAATTTGAATGAAAATATGATACACGGATGTACTTGCAGTCGCAAATAATACGATGATATTCATAACACATTTCACAACGATCCCTGCAATTGCCACACATTTGCCATCACAAAGCCCTGTCGTTGATGCTCACATCCTATGCAAAGCAATACTCACTTTTAGGACACGTCTCTTATTCAATATGGCTACGTATTTGCAAAACATGCAGTTAATAATATTTGAAACAGACCTAACCAATAAGACATACCGTGGACAGGTAAGAAAAAACAAATAAACGTCTGGAGAATGACCTCAACGTCTCGATGTTGCCTAATTACTGAGAGCAATTTTCGGTTTCGAACCAAATACATGAAATAAATATAAACAAAATTTGTACAGATACACTCAATATAGGGTTTATGATTAGCACGGCTACCTAAAACATCAATCCTGTCAGGTTGAGCCACTTATGTCCACACCCAAAGCAGGTCGCTTTGGAACACCACAAGATCCCATAGTACCACCGAAAACGGTCACCAATTGGTCTACTGATCAGCATCTTCAGAACATTCTCGACCGAAAAGCTATCAGTCCTGTCTGTGTTTTGGTTCGCTTCATTTGGGCTTTGCGCACGTTTTTCTACTCCGGTTCTAGGGACGAGATAGCAGTCATCACGCGCTGCACCAGCTCGTTCTTTGACAGGTTGGTGACGCTGTCGTCATCCGGCAGGATAAACACGTGGCGCATTTCACCCTCGGCCCCGCCAGCCACATACACACTTCCTTACGTCATATTGTTTCTCGCCACGAGATCAAAGTTCAAAAGGTCGTGATGTAGGTAGTCTCCGCCCAGCCCGAGTCAGGTACTCCACCGGTTGGTCGGGTGCGGCCAGGTCCGCGCAACGCCGCCCTACTTCGGTCGACGCTCTGGTTGACAAGGATGGCGTTGTCATACAGTTGCCTGTCGACTGAACAGCGATTCAAGACGCCATCCTTGACCCTCTGAAGCCGATCCCCGCAACGACCAGTGTTTGATCCTTGGTTGACCTGCAGCAAACAGTCAACAGAACACAATAATTAGGACATTTGTGGACAATATTAAGGAAACTATATGTGTCATTATTCTACTTGTTCAGCAACTATTAATTTTAGAATATATTCAATAAAAAATTACAGTGTCCCAAAATTGAGTTTTGTCTTGGGTGTCAGAGGGGAAAATTACCCACCAAAAAGAGGGGAGAGAGTGGAAAACTGCTGATTCGATTAGATCAAAAAGGAGTGAGAAATGACAAAAAGCATGCATTTTATTATAGGGTGTAGAATGTTTGATGCTAACTGGGCATCCACACAACTGTCTTTCTATAGGTAAAAAATCTATGTTTTCTTGGTTGGGACTTGGGAGTGGAAAATTGTTCTTAAAAATGGTGGTGAGAGTGGAAAATGAATTTCATTTGGATGTCGTTTCCCACCCAAATAGACAAATTTTGGGACATTGAAAAATTAAAGACTTAATGTCACTTAAATTTCCACTGAACGCCACCAGTTGCGCCAACAACTGTCATCTCATGCAGTTATATAAATTCTGCCAAAAAAGTAGATCTGAGGCCAGTTGTACCAACAGAAAAATAGGTGGCTGCTGGATTTTTTTTTTGGTCTAAAAGTTACTTCACATACAGAGCATGAACGGTACAGCCCTATCCGTTTACGTGCCCATCATGTTAACGCTCCATATGTGAAGCAGTCTTTAGGCAAAAAAATTCCAGCAGGCAGCTATTTGTGTTGATAAAACTGGCTTCTAAAATTAACTTTGGCATGGACAATCCTGAAAATTAACTATCCAGCATTCCCTGGACTGACGTACATTAGACACATAATTTTCTTGAAGATCACGCATAATGTAAATATGGCTTACACCATTCAGCAACTTGCTTTTGTTACACTTACAAATTAAAGTTGTAGCAACAATTGGGTGAGTGAGACACAAGCAGAGGCTAAAACATCCAAATTATGTAAAATACTGGACATGCACTGCCCCCATTTCATGAGTCCACCCAACAATTCTATCATGTGAGACAAAACATTAGGCTTCTTGTAACTAATTTATACCGTAACTTTTAAAGGACATCATGTTTCACTGAAATACTACACCTAAGACATCATTTGCAAAAAAATATAGCTTAAAAAGACAATAGAAGAGTGAGAAGGCGTCCCGCGCCGCTGACGTCGCTACCGCGCCATGTTCCTAAAACCATCTCTTAAAACGAGTTTTCGGTAAGAAACGTTAAGATCACATGCCTGAAATTGAAAAACACACTTCAAAGTATCTTAAAATATGATCCATTGTTACTTACACTTCAGAAAAGGTCCCTTAAACAAAATAAAACCGGGAGCACTACGTTGCATCCAAACACCCACGACGCCGGCGCGAAATGGCGGGAACCGGAAATCGTGGCTAGATACAAAGAAAAAGAATATTTCTTATAAATGAATTATACAACTTAATAACGCATTTTTTATTTTCTTTTAGACAAAATTATGAAAAAATTACAAAGGCTCGTCGTTGATGATAAACAGAGCAAGTTTTAACAGCACGTTTTTGTTGAATTATGGCGGCGAAAACTTTATGCCATTCGTAAAGGTACGCGCGACAAACGGCTGATAGCCATGCAGCGAAAAATTGAAGCGGGGAAGTTTTTTGTATTGATTTGTCGAAAAATCTCGCCGTCATGGGGGTTATTTCCGCCGTAACGGGTCGTCTGAAGGTGGGAATGTCCCAAATTGAATCAAAATATTGATTCTATGCCCATATATGGTCAAAGCTCCGCCCACTAGAATCAATATTTTGATGCCTCCATATTTTGATTCCCGCCGCCTAGTTTGCCCAACTGAACTCTCAGTCTCAAATCTTATCAACTATACCAACAACAAATTTCTGCCAACAATACATTCTCGTGGTCTACAAACAAAGTTGAAGTATCACTTACTGCCTTCAAAGCTCCTGATTCTTGGTCAAATAGTTATTTCAAAATAAATAGGTAGAAAATTCGACTCACTTCCACAATTCGATGTTCAAAACAACTGGTGATGTCAAGTTTGGTCAAAGTTATGCAGCTCAGAGCAACGCAAAATTTTGTGGGATATCAAGAACATGAAAAATTACTTGAGTGTAAAATGCATCGCTTTATGAAACCGATCTGCTGCATTTCTCTCCAAAAACAGCTGTTGGGCATAAAAGTCGACGTAGTAGAATTTCGGTCGCAAAATACAACCCCGTTTTCTTTATGAAACCGCTAGGGCATAAAATCCGGCAAAAACGGGTGGGAAATTGCGCCGGATGTATTTTACTACCTTTTATGAAATCGGCCGCTGGTGGGGGGGGGGGGCTATTTTTTGCCCCCCCTCCAGACTTTTCGATATATCTCCAGAACCACTGCGCCGATCGTCACCAAACTTTCAGTACCCTCCCGGACATCAATTTTACACATTGTGACCAAAAATTTTTCCAAAGGCTATGATAGGTTGGCCGGAAATGACGTCAGAGTGACGTCATGTTCTGCCGTTTTCGACCCAAAAAAGGGTTTCGCGGGAAGAGCTGTCAGGCCTATAGCTTTGCAAATACAGAAAAATGATACGACATAAAAGCTGTAGAATGGACAGGGCTACAAAACTGCTATCTCGGATTTTTGAAAATTTTGGATTTTGACCCCTCAAAAATCAAAAAATAGATTTTTTGAATATAATAGCCAAAAAATCCAAAAAGTTTTTTGAATTTCGAAAAAACCGGAATATATGTGATAGTCCTTACCGCCTTCTATCTACATACCAAATTTGAGATCGATACCTCTTTTTTTGGCCAAGTTATAGCGAAAAAACTGTTCAAAATTGATGACGTCAAATTTTCAAACTCAATTTTCAGCAATTCTCGACCTCGTAACGCAAAACAAACACCACCATTAGACTCCCCGTGACGAGCTGCATCAAATCAATACCCATTTTATGCAAAAATATCAACTTTGAAATTTGACCTTTTTTGACCTGACCTTGACCTGACCTCCACCAGAAAGTGACCTAAACCGTACCTGATGGTCTTATAACCAACACCATTGAGTTGGAAATGAAAAACTGGCCATAAAACATGCATCGCATAACCTTAGTAAAGTTGGGTTCGGCTCCATATCAAAGCGTACAAAATCCTAACATACAATCATTAAAACATACAAAATCGTAACATACAACGCGCAAAACCTACAAAACAGGCCGGGTAGGGGACAGTCAAAACATACAAAAGCGCAGCGTACAAAATCGTATCATACAAAAGCGCAAGGTACAAAATCGTTTCACACAAAAAGGCAGGAGATAATTAATGACATTAATTAAATTACGCATCATGCAAAATCGTTCCACATTAATTTTCATCATTTCGTCGTCCTTGAGATGTCAATTTTCACTTGGATCAAAACCTACAATTTCCACTGCGCTTCGAGCGACATCTTTGTTACAGGTTTGCGCAGTTACGAAACTTTCCTCTAGAGGCCTCCTCTGTCAACGCACAGGCAAGCTTCGCACAGCCAATGTTTTTTGCTTGTTTATACAGTGAGCGCCGGTCTCGGAGCGGCGGGGCGTCCCGGTGCCGCAGCCGTTCCCTCCCTCAGGCCGGGCAAGGTTTCCCCTCCTCCGTAGACGGCGCTGCCCCGCAGGAAACGGCCAAGGCCACGTCCCCGTGGCTCACGTTCCCACTCCCGGCGCGCCGTCTCTGGGAGAGCGAGACGACGCTGCCTTCTCTGGGAGAGCGAGACGACGCTTGGTGCATCGAGTCACATTCTGCTTATATTGACAAGAGCTACCGGGACAGAATTGGTAAATCAAATTGAAAACTGCCAATGAACTTCAAAAAATCTAACATGGAGGCTGCTGGAGTATTTTGCCACACACCATTTGCTAGGGGGAGGCGTAAAATATACCCAGCCGATAACTCAACTCAAGAACCAATAGGCGCAGCGAAACGGGCGAGGCGGCTAACAAAAGAACGTGACGAGACACTTCTGATGATTTAAGTTCAGTTGCAAAGTCACAGGTCGAGTTAACCCTCGCCCATATTGGTGTTTTGCCAGCCGCGAACGTACAAGGGGTTGTTGGACCCCCCTTGCCGTTTGGCCTCTGATCGAGCTAGAGCTTGGCGGGAAAAAACGAGCATGCTGCCCGTGACAAGAGAAAGCCGATGATACCCAATTTTAAAGTTCTAGGTCATTGGTTGACCTTCCAGGTCATGTCAATGACCCAAAAGTCGGGAAAGTCAGGACGTGTTAGAACCTCGTAAAGTGTGGGTGCTGAGAGGTTTCTTTGTGTGCGGACTGTTGAATGTTAGCCGTTTTGATCACAGATGATGTCTTTATGCATTTAGGCCTGGTCGGGTCAGGTCAGGTCAGGTCAGGTCAACCAGTAGGGGTCCTGCCGGGAATTCGTAGTAGGTGTCAACCGCCTCCGACAGCTTCGTAATGTGTTACGAAGGTACCAAAACTACTTCGTAAATGTTCAAATGATTGCTAAATTCGAATTCAGCTCCAAAAACTAGCATAGATGAAACATGTAAAACTCGAAAATGAGCCGAGGTCATCAAAAGTCAATTACCCGACCTGACCTCCAAGTGACCTTGACACCCACCCTAATGCATGGGACCAACATCATATCACATTTTTGAACGCTTGAAACCACGAAAATACTGCAAGGGCGCGGCAAATGCGAGCCTACATACGCCGAATCGCGATTCCGGCCAAACATGGTCTCGAAAAGTAGGTCACAGGTCAAAGGTCATTTGGGTCAAGGTCATGAATTTTTCAGGGCAGGTATAACACTGATTAACCCTCGCCGGCCGAAGGGGGGGGGGCGGGTGCCGCCCCCCCCCCATAGTTTTTTCGCGATAGCTCCGAGCACGCTGGCGATAGAGCTGAAACTTGGCATACCCGACCTTTGATTCAAGCCGGATATTTTGACACCAACCGCATTTTTGGGTCAGGTCAGGTCACTGACCTATGACGTCATAAGTGAACCTCTGCACGGTCTTCAGATGTCGCAACTTCGCAACGTCCTCACTGCCAGAGGAGATGTCACAGGGAAATGACAGGGACGGTGCCACGGATTTCGCCTTGCGGGGGCAGGTTTTCAGAAAAAGGGCCCAAACAAGATGGGGGCCCAAACTTTCCGAAATAGGTATCGTCAATACCATCAATACTGTGCAAGCCTTTATTTGTACCTTGACCTACCATTCCCACAACCGTTGCCTTCTACGCAATAACTTTTGTGTTAAAAGACACACTCTCGCATGTGTAGGGGGTCGGATAGACCCCCCACGGTTTTTCGCAAATAACTCGCGCAAAAAGCGGCCGATCAAGACGAAACTTTCAGTACCCTCGAGTTGATCAATTTTACACCTACTCTGAAAATTTCATGACCCTGACCCAAGTGACCTTTGACCTGTGACCTATTTTCCGAGACCATGTTTGGCCGGAATCGCGATTCGGCGTATGTCGGCTCGCATTAGCCGCGCGTTTGCAAGCTTTTCGTGGCTTCAAACGTTCAAACATGTGATTTGCTGTTGCTCCCATGCATTTGGGTGGATGTCAAGGTCACCTGAAGGTCATGTCAGACCATTGACCTTTTGTGACCTCGGTTTCCCTTTTTCGAGTTCTACATGTTTCTAGGCTAGTTTTTGGAGCTGAATTCGAATTTAGAAACCATTTGAACATTTACGAAGTAGTTTTGGTGCCTTCGTAACATGTTACGAAGCTGTCAGAGGCGGTTGACACGTACTACGAATACCCGTCACGACCCCTACTGGTTGACCTGACCTGACCTGACCTGACCTGGTCTAAATGCTTAAAGATATCTGAGATCAAAACTAACACGATATTCGTGATCAGCACCCCGAAAAAAACCCTCAGCAGCCACACTGTACAGTAGGTCTACTAAAAAAGTCCCCCGCTCCAGAGGCGGCCGGCCGGCCGAACCCCCGGATTCCAGCCCCGACTCTATTGCGCAGGCCGCGGCAGTGACACGGGTCAGGTCGCGGCGCCCGGCGAGTGGGTCAGTTGGCGGCGGCCGGCCGTGGAGTGAGGACGCCGTGTGTGGGGCGCAGAGATGCCGCAGTGCAGAGGAGGGGAAGATAGTGACTCTGCACGATGCCGAAATGATGCCTTTGTGATCTAAATTAAACACATGCACTGCAGTGCATATCCTCCCTTGCCCCATTCCTATTATTGTTATGAATTCGTGGTCTTGTTCCTTTTTTTACCTTCACCCGTGCGTATACTAATGTAACCTACCTTTCCTACCCCAGTAAAACTTTCCTTTATTTGCCCGCCCTTTTCCTGAATCCTTCACAATTAAGTTGTGACGTAACGCTTCCATTTTTCACCGAGCCGATTTCGTTTTGTTTTGATCCGCGATCCGCCCATCTCAGAATGCTACCGTCGAGGCTGCCGAGCGCGTCAGTGCACTGTTCGTTGCGTTACCGAGTTGTCACCGTCAAGCAACCAGCCGCCGCAAGAATATACCCCAGAGGAAATATTTTGTTTGCCCACCTTACATAGTCCTCCGCGGGCCGGATAACACCCGCCTTGATTTTAATTTCAACTGTGATTTTGCTGTGCTTGTTTGGGCATTGATATTCAGTGCAAGATGGAGAAGATGACTGAAGAAGCGTTGGTAAAGGAGAGGACGAAGCTTCGAGGTAAGGCTACAAAGCTGGTCAATGATTTAAAAGAGTACAGAGCAGGATCTGTGGATCAAGATGATCTGGCTTACAAAATCCATGTTTTGAGTCAGCTGGAGGAGCAGATGGTGTCACTGCAGGGTGTGCTCAGTTCTAAGGGTGTACCCGATGAGACGTCTCATATTGATACTCTGAGGGAAGAGGTGTTCAAGGCTCGGCGTCAGCTGATCAGGGTTGAGAGTGCTGTAGTGGCTCCCCCCGCCCCAACTCAGTCTGATGTCACAGATCTCAGGGTGTCTGACGTCAAGTTGCCAGTGTTCAGTGGGGACTTCCTGCAGTGGTCAGAGTTTTGGGACCTCAGTAGGCGGAACTATGGTCAAGCGTACCCATTTTCGGGAACGCATTATCGTTCCCATGTTTGGGAACGATAAACCCATATATGGGAACGCCATGTAGGCATTATTTAAAACACGATAAAGAACCGTTAAATGACGTCCAAAAAATATAAAACGATCGTGAACCGCCTGATATTTGTCTCAATATTGTTGGGAAAGAGTTTGATATTGTAAGGCCCATCCTAGTTTCAAATCGTTCCCCTATTTCTAAAGCAGTCCATCATCCGGGCCGCGAGCCCAAATTTGGGAACGCTCTCGTACACTGGCGCTGCAAGCGTTCCTTATTATGGGAACGGCGTACCCAAAATTGGGAACGATTTCACCGACGCCTTTCAGGGGCTCTTTTCATTAACAAACATTACGTCCAACGCCGCAAATTATTGTTAACGCA